TCCCTGGAGGAAAAAGAGGAGCTTAAGATGTAGCTCCTGCTCTCTAGGTCTTAAATCCATGAGTGCAAATATTAAAATCACAGTATTCAGCAGTCCCTGACTAAGTGCTAAAATAGTGGCACAGACTCAGTGACCTGGGAGGTGGACAAGGCATACAGATGTCCTTTGAAAATTAGGTGTTTTTATTCTCATCCTCTGGCAGTTGGACTTCAGTGGATTTGCTGATGGCAAGGACATGAACAGGCCCTGTGTGGTAGGTGGAATAAGGACAGAAGAGGGGCACACGAGGCTCAGGGGACAGCATAACCAAGGCTCACAGGCTAGAATGAGCACTGTGGTTGAGCAGAGCAGTGGGCTCATTTGGTGAGGATACCCTGTGGTGTGGCCATTCCTGTGACATGTCCACTCTCGTCTATGGAACTATCACAACCAGCTCTGAAAACCATGAGGGCTATCTAGTGACTGAATTAATCAACAACAAAGTTTGAATCTTTAATTATACTCATAACTTAGTGATGGCAATAGAAAAATAAAGCTTCTGCTGAGGAAGAGATCATGCCAGGCTGATTCAACCAAAGAATAGCAATAGCAGAAATCTAGTAGGAGAAACTGCATCCCAGCTTTGTAGGTAAGTGTTAACAGAGAAGACAGAGGATCACATGAGAAAGAACTCAGTATCCAGTGGTGTGCTGGAGCAGGCTGCCACGGTGAGCCAATTATACACATCTCTTCCCAAATCGGCCGTCACTGACTTCACTTTGATAGCTTAAAATCAACCGTGGTGGGAGTATTTACATCATTGAAAATGGTAAACACTATAAATCTAGATTTCCTGACGGAGAGTTAGCTGTTAAACACCACAGTATCACATGTGGAATTTTAGAAAAGAGCAAACAAAGGGACCATAAGAAGACAGAGACACAAATTAATGCAAACTAATATGGATCCTGGAATTTAGAATCTTACCACTAGAGGACTGTGGGGACTTGCCTTAAGTCAGACTACTGGTCCCTGGCAAACATGGGCCTAGAATCCAGGTTGCTTATTGGTTTTTAATTTACAATTTTGTGCTCTTTTAAGGAAAGGAGTATGAGGAATCTTCCCCTGCTATCAGTGCTTACCTTTCCTGTGTTTTCATATTAGAATCCTGCCCAACCTTGGGAGAGAAAAGCGAGGTGCCTCTGTGCATACTGGGGGAGCTGGTGTCCACCTACTCCCATTCCACAAGATCTCCTGAACCACACACCAGCACACTGGGTGTATGAATCTTCTCCTCAGGAAAACATTCACAGGCACAAATGCAAAGTTTTGCCTACAGTGTCAGTTCACGGATCCCTGAATGCCCATCTTCCCAGGTTAAGAATCCTTGTCTCTAAAGAGGCAAATTCATAGCTTTGTCCTAGTCATCCTTCTCCCACCTCAACCCCCTGAACACACCCCCTCCACCAGTGAGAAAGGCTGCAGGAAGGCAAACAGGAACAGCCTAAGCTATAGCCCACTGAACTGTTCTTTGGTCTTAATCAGTGGTTGTCACACCAGTAACGATTTTTGCCCACCAGGACATCTGGCAACATCTGGAGGCATTTTTGATTATCACAACTAGGGGGGAGAATGCTAATGGCATCACTGGGTGGAGGCCAGGGATGTTGCTAAACATCCCACAATGCACAGGACAGTCTCCACAACAAAGAATTATCCAGCACAAATGTCACTGCTGAGAAGCCCTGGAGTAAATCATTTCCAACTATTCTTTCTCAACTCACAGACTCCTGGCTTAATCTTCGAATCCTGCATATTTTAATTTCGATTTGAAAAAATCTGAGAGGCACAAAAAGAAGATATGGAAGTGCCCCTTTTGGATGAAGGTGACTTCCATAGTCTGTGTGTTTTCAAGTTATTGTTAAGGCTTTTCTGAGTCAGGGAGGCTCTGACAGGTTAGGAAGGATGACACTGATATGGTTCTCAGCCGTCTGCTCCAATTCATTTTGGTAGCATTCATACCAAGTGCTGGGAGATCCTTAGATGGGAAGGCAGCGTGGTGTGATGAAAAAAGAACATGGGATCTGGGGTCAAACAAGCTGGGTAAGGTCTCCACACCATCATGAACTAGGACCTTGCCTGGGGTACAGCCTCCTCAGCCTATTTCTTCATCTACAACGTAGGGAAGACAATAACCTCTTACCTAACTCCTTTACAAGAATGTGGCGAAAATCAAGTGACAACATCTTATAAACAGTAAAGCATCGATACTGATGTTAACTATTAAAAATTTCAGCACTTACTTCCCATACCTCTATTACATTTTGGGTTTTAATGATCTGGTTATATATGCCTATCTTCCTGACTAGACCATAAGACCCTGGAAGGCAGGGTTGTGTTTTAGTCACTTTCATATCTCTCTAGGCACCCAGTACTGACCCTGTAGTACAAGAGGTACCCAATGAAATGGAAATTAAACAAATGAATAGTTTCTATAGAAGGTCTCCTGTTGTGCTGTAACCTGCAAGCAGCATGTAGTATTTCTTCAAAGGAGGGAATCCAGGGCAGTTTGGTTCTGTGCTCCCATGCGGAGGCAACCACCCAGGCCAATGGCACTCTGTTCCACAAGCGCAGCATAACTGGGTTCCGTGAGACTCAGGGAAAACTACAGCAGAAGCTGAGCCAAGTGTAACAGCTGGACAATCAGGGTCTGAAGTCTGGCTCTTCCACTTACTAATGGTGTGAGTGAGACAAGTTTATGTGCCTCAGTTTTCTCATCTGTAAGACAGGGAAATGATTAGAACCCACCCTAAAATGAGGCAATGTAAAGCATTTAGCATACTGCTGGGCCATATGTATGCATTTCAATGAATGTTAGTTATTATCAATACTTTTACTTATTCCCAGTCCTTAGTTTGGATCCTCAGCTGGAATCCCCAATGATGGATGTCATGACACCAGTGTACACACAGGCCTGAGAAAACGACAAGCTACAGATCACTGATCCTCCCCACTGACCCCCCCCCCCCCCCCAACCTCCCCCTGCTCTACAGGCTCCTATAACCCCCTGCCTTCTCCTCTTCTCAGGACCCTTCTGACTGTGGGCTTATCTTCTCAAACAGTATTTGAGGGAAAGTCTTGGAGGGTGTTGATTTTGAACGAGCTAGATACCTGGGTTCTATCCTCAACTCAGTCACTGATTTTTACCCTTTGCCAACTATTCTTTCTGCCATCTGGGTCTTGTTCCCCATCTGTCCCCTGAAGGCATGTAAATTTGTAGTCCCTGAACCGCCGGGATCACTCCGGTTTCTCCCTCCCTTGTATCCTGTGGGTCTAAGTTATGGTCATGGGCAACCTCTCAAAAAGTCAGCTTGAGAACAAGTGACACTGGAGCAGACCCAGCTCCCGTACATTAAAGAGCTGGGTTCTGCACGGAGTGTAAGCCCTACACATAACAGTAACAATAATAACAAGACAGCAGTAGCAGCCAGCACTTAATGAGTGTCTAAGTGTCAGACACTACCCTAAGCACTTTAGATGCATTCACCTATTCAACAGAGCAACTCTCTGAAGAAGGTACTATATATTATCATTTTACAGATGAGGAAACTGAGGCATAGTGAGATGAAACAACTTGCTCAGGGTCACACAGCTACTAAGGGGAAAGTGGAGGCAAGTCCATGTAACCACCACATTCTGCTGCTTCTCACACACAGGCAAGGAAGTGGCACCCTAAGGGGTGCTATGGCGCTCCAGCTCACTTAAAAACACGATAAAACACACTAAATCAAATCAACAAAATTACCAAATATCGACAGTCCCTGACATCTGTACTGCCCTTGACAGTTCAGATGGGATTTTCCCCAAGTTTTCTTTCATCGGGTACACTGGGCAGCGCTGAGGGGGATGCCAAGATGAAAAAAGTCTCTGAACGCGGGGAGCTTATATTTTAATCCTTCGGGTGAACACATTGGTTCTCTGACATCTAAGCGAAGACAGGGGTTCTGGGGGGGCAGCGGAAGGAGTTCCTAAGGAATACTAGGGGCCTGTGGCACTAGGTAAAAAGACTTCGGAGACGGGGGAGGGAGGCACCTCACCCGGAGGGGCTGGAAAAGACACCACTGTCTTATTGGATGACCTTGGGAAAGTCACTTCCCTGCTCCGGTTCTGCTTCTTTCTCTGTGGGGGATGTGGGAGCCAGATGATCGCTCAAATCCCACCGCCCCTTTGTTTATATAACCTAATGGATGTCTGTAAACACATTCAGGAACTCTAGTTGACTCTGGGTTCCAGATCCACCAGGGGCTGGCTCTGGGCCTTGCGCGGATCACTTCGTCTCTAGGTGCTTCCGCTGCCTCATCTATAAAGTGACAGTCCTTGCTCTCCCTCCCAGGGGTTCGGGAAGAATTACGGGGGACAAAAGGGCAAGGGCGCCCTAGCAGCGCGGTTCCGACGCAGAGTACGACTGCTCTGACCCTGGCGCCGCCGCTGCCGCCAGGTCAGGCCCAGCAAGGCTCGTGTGACCCTCCTCCCCTGAAGCGCTCGGGGTCACCTCTGCCCAAGCTGGTGACCTCGGCTCGGCCCGGCAGAAATGGGAGGCCGGGACGGCGGCGACCTTGGGCGGCTGCCTCCGGGGCCCCGCGTGCGCCGCTGCCTCTCACCAGTGTTCGGCACCTCCCGATACCAGGCGCGGTAGAGCTCGCGCACCCTCCGCTTGGCCTCGTTCATGTCCCGACTGAAAATGGGCTTCACCAAGGTGTTGGCCGCAGCAGCCCGGCCGACGCCGCTCGCCGCCATCTTGCGAAAGAAACCACCTCCCAACTTCACCCCGTTTCAACCCGTAAGTCCGGCCGAGGGACAAATCTTTTTTCTCATTGGCTAAAACTTAAAGTCCCGCCCCTAAACTACTGGTGGGCGGGAGAACCGCTATGGGGCTCTCTGATTGGCTGAAAAGCCTCTCTCTCTCTCTCTCTCTCTCTCTCTCTCTCTCTCTCTCTCTCTCTCTCTCTCTCCCCCCCCCCCCCTCCCTCTCTCCCTCTCTCCCTCTCTGTGTGAGAGAGGCAGGTGGAGGCTGCGCTGGCTCACCTGCGGAATCTTACACTCGGCCGTTGAACGTCCTAACGGTCGCCCGACCGCGCCGCCAGGGGCCGCTCGGGCCCAGGCCAGCCGTTGTGCCGCGAGTTGGCGCGTGCCTGCTGTCTGGCGTCCACTGCGTCACGCCCGCGAACTGCCCCGGGCGCTAGTGTGGTAGCGCCCATCCGCACGCACGTCGTGGATCTTCCGCGCTCGGGCCGTGGGCCCTGCTGAGGCAAGTAATGGCGCCTGGGCTGCTGTGGCGTTGGCCTGGCACCTCTGCGGCTTTTCCGCAATAACTCTTTTTCCCCCTTATAAACCAACTCTTTTGAAGCGAGGTAGAGACGTGAAAGCGCTCTCCTGGCCTTGAGCTTCTGAGCTTCTCGGCCCTTCTCCACAGCCCAGGGAGGTGGGTTATATCATCAGCCCCATTTTAGACGGGGACGTTTTCATCCCAAACTCTGGATCTCTATGAAAAACAGCCCAGAGTTTTGGAGCTGGAAGGAACGTTAGATCGTCCATTCTGGGTACCTCTCTCTTTCCTGGCATTTTTTTTTTCTTTTCTTTTTTTTTGGCCTTGCTGCAGGGCATGAGAGATCTTAGTTCCCCCACTAGGGATTGAACCCGCGCCCCTTGCAGTGGAAGCACAGAGTCTTAAGCACTGGACCAGCAGGGAAGTCCCTTTCCCAGCATTTTTCTACTGAGGATATCTCTGAACATCAAGGGGAGCCTGGAAGGGTAAAGGGAAAAATAACAGCTAACAACATGTCAGGCCGTGCGTAGATTTTCTACTTAGTCTTAGTTAATCTCATAGATCAGGTAGGTACTGTTAGCATCCCCATTTTACAGGTGAAGAAAGTGAGGTGGTGCAGCCTAGGTCACTTGCCATTTTAGGTTCTGCCCCAGACTGACTCCTGCCTGGAGTCCACTGGTCATTTCTGAAAATGCAGTTGAGAGATACTTTGTGAGTTTTGGGGAAGCAGCAGGGGCCAGGGCTGAGCTTAGCTCTGGAACCCCAGCCAGCATGGGGGATGGCCCTGCATCTAGCCCAGTCTTACCCATTTTAAAGGGTAAAAAATTGGATTTTTCCCCTGTATTATTTTTTAAAATGTATTTGTACATTTAAATGAATTATGCATGAAAAGAAAGCTTGTAACATTGTGACTACCTCGAGGGGTGGGATAGGGAGGGTGGGAGGGAGATGCAAGAGGGAGGAGATATGGAGATACGTATATGTATAGCTGATTTACTTTGTTATAAAAAAGAAACTAACACACCATTGTAAAGCAATTATACTCCAATAAACATGTTAAAAAAAAAAAGAGCTGAGGTGATAAAACAAAATGAGACAATGTATCTATAGCCTGCTGTTAAAGGCATCTACTAGATATTAGTTAAGAAAGAACTTCTGAAATATAAAAATGTGGTAACTGTGAGATGGGGTAGTGGAAAGAAATAGGAACCAAGAATAAAAGCCTTCCCCAAAAGTTAAAAAAGCATGTAACATATGTAAGTGATAAAGCATGGTAGAATGGGAACTTTTGAACTTCAGTACCCACCTCAAGAAGTTGTAGTACAGTTAACATTTATGTAATGTGTACCATGCTCCTGGTAACCACTGTTTTACATTCTTCAGGCACATTAACTTGTTTAAGCCTTGAAACACACCTGTGAGATAGGCGCTGTTATACCCATTCTACAGATGAGGAAACTGAAACACAGAGGCTAAGTTACTTGACAATACTGGGTTGAGACCCAGGTAGCTGACTCCAGAGTCTGCGCTCTACCTCTGATACCCACCTGTGTAATTCTGACCTGGTTCATGCTCCTGCCTCCTCTAGGAGTAACCACTGTCATGAGTTTAGTGTTTAATATTCTTATTCATTGAAAAAAAAAAAAGGTCTCTAAAACAACTCACAACTGGGGGAAAATATTTGCAAATGGTATATTCCATAAAGGACTTGTATCTGGAATATATAAAAGACACAACTCAAAAAAAATAGCTCAATATAAAAATAAGCAAAGCTGACAACACCAAATGCTAATGAGGATGTGGAGCAGCAGGAACTCTCATTGCTGGTGGGAATACAGCTTGTTTGGAAGACAGTTCGGCAGTTTCTTGCAAAACTAGCATACTCTGTACTTCCCTGGCAGTCCAGTGGTTAAAACTCTGTGCTTTCACCACAGGGGGCTTGGGTTCGATCCCTGGTCCGGGAGCTAAGATCCCACATGCTGTGAGGGGCAGCCAAAAAAACCCCAAAACGAACAAACAAAAAAAACTAGCATACTCTTACCATATAATCCAGTAATCACGCACCTTGGTATTTACCCAGATGAGTTGAAAACTTATGTCCACACAAAAACCTGCACATGGATGTTTATAACAGTTTTATTCATGATTGTCAAAAGTTGGAAGCCACAAAGAAGGCCTTCAGGATGTGAACAAATAAACTGTGGTACATGCAGACAATGGAATATTTTGGAGCATTAGAAAGAAATGAGTCGTGAAAAGACATGGAGGAAACTTTAATGGATATTACTAAGTGAAAGAAGCCAATCTGAAAAGGCTACATACTGTATGATTCTAGCTATATGACATACTAGAAAAAGGCAAAACTATGGAGCCAATAAAAAGATCATTGATTGTCAGGGACTAGGGTAGAAAGAGGGATGAATAGGTACAACACAGAGGGTTTTTAGGTCAGAAACCATTCTGAATGATGCTATAATGGTGAATACATGTCATTATATACTTGTCCAAACCCACAGAGTGAACCCGAATGTAAACTGTGGACTTTGGATGGCAATGATGTGTCAATCTAGGTTCTTCCATTGCAACAAATATAGCACTCTGATGGGGCATGTTGGTAGTGGGGGAGGCTGGAGGGTGGGCAGGGCAAGGGGTATATGGAAACTCTGTACTTTGCACTCAGTTTTTCTGTGAACTTAAAACTGCTCTTAAAAAAATAGGCTTTTTTTTTTTAAATGGGCAAAGGCTTTGAATAGCTGTTTTTCTCAAGAAGTGATACAAATGACCAATAATACATGAAAAGACACTCAGCGTTCATTAGGTAAATGCAAATCAAAACCGTAAGATACCATTTCTCACCCACTAGAATGCCTAAAATAGAAAACAGACAACAGTCAGTGTTGGTGGGGACATGGAGAAATTGGAACCCTCGTACGTTGCTAATGGGAATGTAAAATGGTACAGCTACTTTGGAAAACAGTCTGGCAGTTTCTTAAAAAGGTAAACATGGACTTAACTATATATGATCCAGCAATTCCAATCCTAGTATCTACCCAGGAGAAATGAAAAGGTTTGTCCACACAAAGACTTGTATGTGAATTGTTATAGCAGCATTAGTCACAATAGCTAAAAAGTAGAAACAGCCCCAAAGCCTATCAACTGGATATACCAAAAAAAATTTTTTTAAGTGGATAAACAAAATATGGTACATCCATACAATAGAAAACTCTTCAGCCAGGATGAACCTTGAAAACATTATGCTCAGAGAAAGAAGATAGACACACAACAATACAGTATGATACCATTTGTATGAAGGGTTTAGGAAAGGCAAATCTATAGAGACAGAAAGTAGATTAGTGAGCTGAGTAGAAATGAGGAGTAAATGTAGCATAAGGTTTCTGTTTAGGCTGATGGAAATGCCCTAAAATTAGTTCATGGTGATAGTGTACAACTTTGTAAATATACTAAAATTTATTGAATTGTACACTTAAAATGGGTGAAGAATGAATTTTATGGTATGAAAATTATATCTCAATAAAGCTGTTGGAAAAAAATGGTCTCAGGACTTCCCTGGCGGTCCAGTGGTTAAGACTCCGCACTTCCAATGCAGGGGGCGCGGGTTCGATCCCTTGTCGGGGAACTAAGATCTCACATGCCACACAGCGCAGCCAAAAAAAAAGGTCTGATGATTTTTCAAATGTGTAAAGTCCAGTGTGCCTTAATAATGCCTTCTTCCTTTCATCACCTTAAAAAAGGAAAAAAACCCTATTTGTCCTTATTAAAAACAATGATTTTAGAAAATTGGACCGGATGGCACAGTACAGAAAATAAATATCCTCTATAAAATTAGAGGCAATGTAGCATATAGTGAAAAAAATTTGTCAGTCCCTGATATCAGTTACAAGCTGCATGTTACCTTTCCTCCATGAACGTTGGTTTCTGCATCTGTAAAACGGGCATAACAATGGCTGCCACACAGGGTTGAGAGGATTAAATGAGATAATGTATATACTATGAAGCGCCTGGAAGAGTGTCTGCTTCACACAGATGTTTGATAAATGTCAGTTTTCTTTCCTTTGCCTACTAATCAGATTATGAGAATCCCGTTAACTTTCTTTAGCCTCAATCCCTACAACACATTTACAGAGTATATCCTAGTGACCAAGAACCAGTGGAGGGTGGTAGTCTTGTTGATGTGGGAGGGTTGGAATGCACCCAGGACATTGCCTAGATGCTGTGTTTGCATCTTAAGCCCCCATTTTTTACTTATATGTTATGGATTAATACAAATAGAGATTTCTAAAGGTGATTTTATGAACATTTAACCCAAGATTTTCAATTTAACCCAAATTTTTCAATTTTCTGTAGAAAAGAATATTACTTTTTTTTGGTAGGGGACATTGATGTACATATAGGTTAAGGACTAACCACTACCCCTAGCCACCTCTCGCCACTGTCGTTGGTGCCCAGTGAATGTTAAATTGGGTTGAATTGAAGACCTCAGCATTTAAGATACTTGTGCTGTTGGTAGTGGAGTGAGAACTAGATCCCAGAATTTTTTTTTTAAGATTTTTTTGATGTGGACCATTTTAAAGTCTTTATTGAATTTGTTACAATATTGCTTCTGTTTTATGTTTTGGTATTTTGGCCTCGAGCCATGTGGCATCTTAGCTCCCCGAATAGGGATCGAACCCACACCCCCTGCACTGGAAGGCAAAGTCTTAACCACTGGACTTCCAGGGAAGTCCCAGCTCCCAGAATTTTTTACGTGGGTTCGGTGTTGTTCTTCTACTCCATCCCTCCTCTCACCCCACTTTTGGCCTTGATTTAAAGCTTTTCTATCTAAAATGGTTGCATCTTTCTTCCTGAGACCACCACCTTAGAGTCAGAGATTTGAGCAGAGGGTGTTTTGGGTTCCAGTGGTATATGGGATCATGGGGTCCCAAGATGGAAGCAAAAGCAACGGGGAGGTATCAGGAATTGAT